CCCAGCTTCGCAGGTGCTATGGATTGTTGTAAGATGCCTCCCATGCCTCCCAGGCGAAAATTTCTAACTGGGACCAGTTGGCATCTCAACTGGTTTCAACTGGGACTAACTGGTCCCAACTGGGAATCAACTGGGACTAACTGGTCCCAACTGGGAATCAACTGGGACCAATAGGAGTCCAACTGGGGCCAGCTGAGGGGTCAACTGGTTCGAACCATTCCCAGTTGGGAGTCAACTGGTTTGAACCATTCCCAGTTGGGTGTCAACTGGTTTGAACCATTCCCAGTTGGGAGTCAACTGGTTTGACTCCCAGTTGGGAATGGAGTGCACTGGAACCAGTTAGGAAAGTAACTGGTTGGAGCGATTCCCAGTCGGACTTCAAATGTCTTTCCCGTTCCCAGTTCACACTGGGCAACAATTTGGACAAGTTGGGGGTGTATTGACCTTTGCTAATAAAGAAAACTAAAAACACTAACATTTTTAGATTTATACAAATAGGGAATTTTAATTACTGGGGTACATTTATATATTTATAAAAATAATATCAAAATTTTAATTAACTAAATAATTTTTTAATTGGAAAATATAATTAGTGACAAAATGTGTTCACCTACATTTACACTTTTAGTGCATTATTAAAATATATTAAAACATTTATTGAAATACCTACAGTATTTTTTTTTTCTTTTAATAAATAAATTTATCTTTTGACTAATCAGAGCTAGCCGGCCGCCGTGGCACGCGGGTGCGGATTAGTGGTACGCGCTGTCGACAGATGGCGCTGCCTATGCTGACGCCGGACATTTGTGGCTGAAAGGAAAAGTCGCTGGGGAATCAACAGTCCTTGGAGTGGTTTACTTATGGACAGGGACAGGTGCTAAAGAGGAAAACAGAAAAATGATTGATTGCATATCAAGAGACATTAGTGAACTAGGGGAAGGCTCCGAAATAATTATTATGGGAGACATGAATGCCCATATTGAGGGTCTGGATGGGTATACGGACTCAACTGGAAGCATACTACTAGAACTGGTGGAAAAACATGACCTAGTTTTATGTAATACCAGTCAGAAGTGTGACGGGCACATAACTTGGGAAACTGGCAATCTGCATTCAACTATAGATTACGTACTCATGTCACACAAAATATATGGTAAGTTACAAGTAATGAAAATAGATGAAGAAGGTTCCAAAAGTCTTGGTAGTGATCACAAACGTATTAAGCTGAATTTTGCCAGAGAAGTAAATGCTGAAACTAGACAACATAATTCAAAGCAAACTTTCTGCAGCGACAAAGAGTTGGAAATAGTTGTTGAAAGAATAGAGGCAGCAGTTTCAGGGCAACGGCATACAGATTGGACCTATGAGAGCCTAACTAGGCTTTTTTCTCTAGAACTAGACAAAGTTAAGAGTAAACGAAAGGGGAAGCAAGGACATAGACCAAAAAGTTGGTGGGACAAAGAAGTGAAGCAAGCGATACAAAAACGTCAGGAAGCCTCTAGAGAACACAGGTATTCCAAGCGTAGTGGGGAGTCCGAAACGGAAGTAAAAAGAAAATGGGACAATTTTCTAACATGTCGCCGAGAGGCATCCAGTTTGATCAATGCGAAAATTCAGAGAAAGGGTGAGGAATGGATGAGTAATGTAAGTAAGAAAGATAGAAATGCTGCCAAGAAGTTTTGGGAGCACTTGAACTCACTCGGTGAAACAACGCAAGCTAGACAGAGGTTTATACTCTCGCATCAGGGAGATCAATTAGAGGGAGATGATGCGATACAATATATAGGAGCAGTGATGGAGGAGAAATTTCGGGAACGGGTACATGTGGAAGATAGGAGAACCGAAGGAAGTAGCAGTCCAGTTTGTGACATCGCGGATTTTGGACAAAGAGAATGGGAAAAGGCGGAACGAAGAGTCCCTAGTGGCACGTCGACAGGCACAGATGGTATCCCTATCAAGCTGGTGAAGAATTTGGGTCCTAAATCTAAGGCAAAACTAAGGGAGGTAGTGAGTACCATGATAACAAAAGGAAATATTCCAGATGAATGGAGGCTTAGTAGGATGAGTATGATATATAAGGGAAAGGGAGATAAGTCTGATATTAGGAATTATCGTCCTATAACCGTGACACCGGTTATTTACAGGTTGGTAATGCAGATTATAAAGAACAGACTGGAGGAATGGGTAGATTGCGAGGGCATACTGGGCGAGTTACAGAACGGGTTTCGAAAACAAAGAAGGTTGGAGGACAACTTATTTTCTCTAACACAGTGTATAGAAATAGCGCAAAAAGAAAACAGACAGCTCTGGCTGGCATTTCTGGATATCAAGGGTGCCTATGACAATGTGAACCAAAGAAACCTGTGGGACATAATGGAGAACTTAAACCTAGATGAAGGACTAACAGCACTATTAAGGAACATTTACAAAGATAACAAGGTGATTATAACATGGGAAGGAAAGGCGACAGGGAAAATAGAGATAAGACGAGGCCTTAGGCAGGGGTGCCCGTTATCGCCTTTGCTGTTTATGTTGTATCTGAGAGGATTGGAGGATAGACTAGAGAAGAGTGGGCTTGGGTTCAACCTTTCTTACAGTAAGCTAGGCCAAAAAATTCAGCAATCCTTACCGGGATTGATGTATGCGGACGATATTGTACTAATGGCTAACAACAGGACAGAGTTGCAGGAATTAATGAGCATCTGTGGTAGGGAAGGAGAGGAATTAGGTTTAGAATTCAGTAGCGAAAAATCGGCAGTCATGATTTTTAACGAGGATGAAGTTGAGAGGCTGAAGATACAGAATATTACAGTTGAGAGAGCTAGTAAATACAAGTATCTAGGAGTATGGATATGTGATGGTGCAGAATATCTCAGAGACCATGAAAAGTATATAATAGGTAAGGGCAACAGAAATGCAGCTGTAATGAAAAATAGAGCACTTTGGAATTACAACAGGTATGAGGTGGTGAGAGAGATTTGGAAAGGGGTCATGGTGCCTGGCTTGACTTTTGGAAACGCAGTGCTATGCATGAAATCCGAAGTGCATGCGAAACTAGAAATAAAACAGCGCGGAGTAGGTAGACTGGCTTTGGGGGCGCATTGCAAAACGCCAAACCAGGGAGTACAAGGAGACATGGGATGGGCATCATTTGAGAGCAGGGAAGCGGTGAGCAAGGTAGAATTTGAGGATAGGTTGAGGCTAATGGATGGGGAGCAATGGGCACGAAAGGTTTTCAGCTATTTATACATGAGAAGTGTAGACACAAAGTGGAGACAGCGCACTAGGAAATTAAGAGGAAGGTTTTTGGGCTATAGCGAAGATACGGAAGAGCAAGTCTCAGTTAAGAAGAAAGTTAAGGCCACAGAAAGAGATCGGTGGCTAGAGGGAATGCAGACAAAGACTGCTCTGGAAAGCTATAGATTAAACAAAAGAGTTATTGCCAAAGAAAGCATTTATGACAATTCTAGGGGAAGCTCATTGCTGTTTGAGGCAAGAACGGGTGTTCTGCGAACCAGAACATACAGAGTGAAGTACCAGGAAATTGATACAGTGTGCACTGCTTGTGGAGAGGAGGACGAGACGGCTGAGCACTTGATACTCTACTGTAAAGGGCTTCACCCTATGCCTTCCGAAGACAACATAGATTTAATAAAGTCATTGGGTTTTAGAGACAGCGAAGGGAGAGTGGATTTCAAGACTGTAGAGATTACCAAGCAAAGATTAAGTGAATGGTGGCAGAAATCGAGAGAAAACTAGGTATTTTCTTAATCACTGATGGCAAGGGGGTTTCATAGCCTCACTTTCTTTGCACTGCGGAGTGAATATAGATTTCACATTTAAATATTCTAAGCTTAAATGGTAAAACAAAATGGCTAGGTGGCGTAAGCTACCGCCCGATCCAAAGGGCTCAGCCGTATTCATCCATCCATCATCCATCCATCCATCCGGAGTCGGACGGACGCGGTAGAGAAGGGTCGCCATCGCCCAAGTTGGCGTCGTTATGAAAATGTCAAAACTACAGCTGCGCTTCTTTGGACCTAACTGTACACACACCACGGTGGCGGCGGTGAACTTCGAGGATGGAAAGATGCAGTTCAGCGATCGGAGGGCACCCAGGAAAGACCGGACGCACATAGACCGGGCGGAAGAGAACACGCCGCGGAGAGCACAATGGCGAAAATGGCGGGAGGTCTACCTCGAAAATGTTCGACTGTTGTGACAGAGATTGCAAGGTGGGAGCGCTACCGCATCTTATCAGGACTTCACCTGCGCAACGCAGGATCACGGGTGAGCACCTTTCTTCACGCGATGGGAAGAGAAGCTGAGGACGTTTTCACTAACAGACGCCAGCGGCCGATCTTCCTTCATCTCATGAATACCACCTCTGAAAAAGCGATTCAACCGTCGCAAGCAAGTGGCTAAACCCGGAGCGTGTACGTCACCGAACCTATTTAGTTTCATTCTCCAAGTTTTTGACAATAAAGTATTGTCAACCTTCCATTTTGTGCCGTGTTTCATTGTTGCTGGAGTTGGTACCAACTCCAACTGGGACCAGTTGTAACTGGGACCAATTCCAGCTGGGACCAACTCCAACTGGGACCAGTTGCAACTGGGAATTGTTCCATAAACCAGTTGCAACTGGGACCAACTGGTCCCAGTTGGACGACTCCAACTGGGACCAGTTGCAACTGGGAATTGTTCCATAAACCAGTTGCAACTGGGACCAACTGGTCCCAGTTGAAAATTTTCGCCTGGGCTCCGTACTCCAAGACCTTGACGTTTTTTGTTTGTCTTTTGTTACTTTATTATATATATTTTTTTTTATATATGTGCCGTTCAATTGAAGAATTTGTTGTTGTTGTTGTTGTTGTTGTTGTTGCAGTTTTTGTTCAGAGACAATAAAAGACATAGACCGAGCAGGCCTCCAGACTACCATAGTTTCGGTTTCGCTTTAACCACGAGAAACGGTGTTTCAGACGTCCGACGTGTGACGCCCCAATCGCGTCCGCCTTCTAATTTATGACCTTTCCAAGTTTACTTCCCTTCCTTTTTTCACGTGATTTTCCTCAGCTTCGCGTTCGGTAATCGGTGCAACTGCTACGTTCCATTGATCGCCTGACCTATGTGCTCCTGAACGAAGCATGAAGTCCATCTTCCGGACTAGGATCGTGTATTTCTCGCTGGAGAGGCGGCAGCGATCGCTCTCAACATGAAGCAACAGCCGAAGATCAAGGTATCACTCTCGACTGTGCCGCTCCGTGGTTGAGAAAATCCATTGGCGTCCGCGTAAATTTTTTGCGGTACAGGCAGGTAACGGCGTTGCGAGTGACACGTTACCTTACCAGCATCAAGAAGTACCATTTTTTATTATTTTTTTTCCTGGGAGTTTAGTTTGATTTGAGAAACTTGAACGCCATCCGTAGGCTCCGAGCGAGTTGTGGACACCGGTTGTCGTGTGTAAAGCTGGCACAGTGAAATTTTGGTTGACTATAGACTCTTTTTCTATCTAGGCAGTTTGATTTGCGCGATGTGTGTAGATTATCCGTTATTAGGGCTTAATTATCTGGAATGTTAAAATGTAGGAAAGGGTCTGTTGTGCGCGACTGTAGGCGAGAGTACCGCGAGCGCAACATCGTCAGAGTTCTGCCCCTGTGTTCGCGCGCGGGACTGGCGTATGGATGATGCGTTTTCCACAAACTCGCGACTTGTTGAATGTTTTAAGGAGTGCGTGGATATCGCTGTCCGACTCCTAATGCTGAAAGTGTTCGCGCCTGCTTTGACGATGACTTCGATAAGTTCCACGGATCCTGAGCCTGGCGGCAGTGTCAACGAAAGGGTACTGGAACGTTTTCTATATTTTCCTTTAACATATCTTCTGTTTTCTATATTGCCTATTTCACAGGGGGTTTCACACAAACAGCTGGATAACAAATCACAGAACTTGTAAACTGAAGGTGCCTTCTTCCTCCTATACAAGGAACTCGTGCTAACAAATTAACCGATGAACACAGTAAGAGTTTGTTGTTGCTTAACCGGGTGCCTGAAAAAAAGTTTACACGTTAGAAGGACTCGCGAAGAGTAACCGCTGGACCAGCACGTTGATATATACATTTTTTTTCACGCACATGCTTGTGTTTTTTGGTCATGGTGGCATTCCACAAGCCCAGACCATAATCCAGCAGCACCAAAAATTAATTTGTTGAATGATTGCAGCGTTTGCAGACATCACGAAGAGATTGTTGGTTTGCCTTTATCACTTTCAACTCTGATGTCTGGGTCTTCCGTTTCAGGACTCTTTCACGTATCCGATCAAGTTACAATAATTCATTACGCTATAGTCTTTTGCAACAATGTAAGAAAGTGAAGAGAAGCCTTTCCCACAAAGCTGTCTAGTTTCCATGATTCGTGGTTTCCTTCTCTCCATCGTTCGCTCCACTAAATTGGAAAGAGTTGAGAGCTCTGGGGGAGCGAGAACTTGTCCCGCTATTCTTAACTTGCAACAGGTTATAGTATTGCAACTCATCAGTTATGTTTGAGGGAAAATCGGGATGTCTTTTGCTCAATCTTTCTCTATTTGCGAGCCATTTTAAAGTCTAAACTTCTTTTGAGGCACCGTCTGCATGGCCAGAGAGCCAAGGTGTCCCCTCCCCCCTCAGCTGCACGCGCGTCTCTCCACGCAGATGTCAAAAATCCTCAAGTATGCGTCGCTGCTGTTCATCGTGGTTCAAACCACCACGATGGTGCTCGTCCTGCGGTTCTCCCGCACGCAAACTGTTGAAGGCCCACGGTATCTGTCCAGCAGTGCTGTCGTCACCGCAGAGTTCTTCAAGATTCTGGTCTGTGTAGCTGTGCTCTTCTGGGAGAACGGTGAGTTGAACGTAGCCAATCTCCGGCCACATATTTTTGTCTTTATAGTCTAAAAAAGCTAGCTTCTTTTCGCACCCGAAAATCTGTACTTTAGTTGGTATCACTGTTTCAGACTCAATTCTTGAGGGTTAAAAAACTCGGCAACCCTTTAGAATTGTGCGCACCGTGTTCTATTAATGGTTATTGAATGACTAAATTTTCTCACATTTCACGACTTGAAAATATTCCGAAAAATTGATCACGCCCATGGTGACGAGCACGTAGCATATCACTCTAAATCGCAACATTTTGTGCCTGCAAAATATCCCCAATACCCACATTCTGCAAAGCTAGCGAAATATTGAGACCGCAGCACTGCGGTCTCAATCAAATCAATCATACTGCGGTCTCCAGCAGGACTGGCAACTTATCTATGCACCTAGATTTTTACAAAAATGTAATTAAATTACAAAGCAAAAAAAAAACAAAAAAACTTTCTGCAATAAAATTGCGGTTTGAGAAGTTCAACACAACACTGCAATAGCCTACGAGGATTCTCGACGTTGCCGTACTGAGCGCTGTTTTCCTTAGACTGTAGCCTTGACCTCACTTCCCAGCATTCGTGGAATCGTTTCGCTGTCACTAATTGCAACAGTTGCAGCATCGTGTATCATCCAGACGTAAAATGATTTACGCGTCAGCTGCATCTGTTGCGTTTTTCCCAGGTTACTCGGTATCCCAAGTCGCCAAGCAGCTTTACTGCAACGTCTGGGCCCAGAAAAGGGAGACTTTTAAAATGCTCGTTCCTGCCGGACTTTACACGCTACAGAACAACCTGCTATTCTTTGCTCTCTCTCTCCTAGACGCCGCCACGTATCAGGTGAGAAGGAAGCCGAAATTTCCGACTCGGTTGCATCCTGTGCTCAAGATTGAATATGCCACAGTTTTTTAAAGGGATACCACAACGAAATTTCGGCACTTATTACTTTATCTGTACGTGTTCGATTGACCATTACCACATCGGACAGACCAATCTCTTGTTAAAAAAGACACAAAAATGAATTTCAAAATAAATTAAACGATTAGCAAAGGGGCACCTGGTGGATGTCGCTTAATCCTCGTTTGTTATGCCTGTCTAGGAACCTTTACAGTTAGTGACGGTGCCTGTCGTACCTAGAACGATACAGGCCTTGAACCTGACGTCATTCTGCCAGCTCCGGCCACGACGAGAGAAGAGGGGAAGGAGGAACTTTCCTCTCACCAGGACTCTCTTTTGTGTGTCGCAGACATCGCTGTTATACAAAATTACAGAAGATTAACCCGTCACTGAAAATTTGTACAAAACCAGCTTCTGGGTTAGTTGCGGTGACCCGATTGCTGGCGTGCTTCGGTTGCTTCGGTGGTTGAAATGGCTGGTACATCCTGTCGATGTCAGCCTCAACGCAGCTTTGCTAGCCCCGAGACCATCTACATCACGATTGCGGCGGATGTCATGTGCTCCCCGCTGGCTGCTCTCCGAGCGCTTGCCAGAGTTGGCCGTTCATAACGAAAAATACAGTCATCAGGCTCAAAATACAAACGCGCGATTGTCATTGGCGGATATTGTGGATCATATTCAGCCTATTTTGGAACACGACGGGTGTATTTCGAATTTCGTTGAAGTATCCCTTTAAGTTCCATGCACCACATTGACCAATCTACAGAAACACTGAGCACGAACATGTGACAACCCTCGAGATTCACGAGCTCATAGGTTCTAGAGAAGTACAAGCCAAGCATGTGTATGTGGGCAAACCCGGCTCGTCGAGATAAATTAATGAATAGATAAAAAGTAGTCTTATTTTATCCAGCGTCTCTGGTCCTTTGGGCCTCCTGTCTGGGTGTGTCGAGGAGAGAACGTCGATTGGGAAAAGGATGCAACGAGGGTGCTAAAAATTTCAAAATGTGGTGATGTGCTGTGTGTTGGTAATAAAAATTTCATGATTTATTTGTCACCTTCCTCAGTGTGTGATAAAAACTAAGCCTGTATGAATATTTTATAATAAATTTTTGGTCTAGGGCTGTTGTGTCTAAGCTTACCAAAGAACACGCTGTTGACTGAACTGGAGAGCGCGCTCATCGCAAAGAAGGGGTATTTGCTGTAAACCACTCGTTCATTTGTGGCTGCAGGTGACGTACCAGCTGAAGATCCTCACCACCGCCATGTTCAGCATACTTATACTTATGAATATTTTACAAAAAATTTTGGTCTAGGGCTGTTGTGTCTAAGCTTACCAAAGCGCACGGTGTTGACTGAACTGGAGAGCGCGCTCATCGCAAAGAAGGGCTATTTGCCGTGAACCACTCGTTCATTTGTGGCCGCAGGTGACGTACCAGCTGAAGATCCTCACCACCGCCATGTTCAGCATACTCATACTGAAGAGGAGGATTTCGAAGCAGCAGTGGCTAGGGCTGGTTGTTCTCGTTGTTGGTGTCATCCTTGTACAGGTACATTTAATTTGTTCCTCATATAGGGAGTATTCACTGGACGCCATATTTGTGGGTGCTGTTTAGAGCGCATGCTCAGAACGAGCTCGCATCAATAGGCTGCTAAGACCGGCACTCTTGATGGTGCGGAATGCAGGTTGCAAAAGAAGTGTGAAAGCTCGCCATCAGCACGCGCTCAGCATTCGCGCACACAGCTATGGCCGCCAGTGAATAGTCCCTATTGTGAAGCTTAATGCTCTAATGTTTTTGTGAGGGCTTGATTTCTCTTTCTGTCTCCGCAAATGTCAGCTGCAGTGATGGAAGTGCTGCGCTGTATGTGCCAAATTGCGCCGTGAATGAAAGTCTGCTACATCTTGAGCCAAAGTGCCATTTTTGCTAGGAACTGCGCCACACCTGTGCCAAGGTGGGCGAAGGGAAAAAAATATGAAATAGTTTAATATCGATTGACTTTAAAGAAGCAGGAGGAAACAAAAATGGTTCAAGTAGGTATTTCACAGGATCTCTTATCACCGTGTAACTTATTTCGTCTTAGGTTTGAGCACAGTCGAAGGCTCGAACACATACCACCACAAACACGCATTTTACAAGCACAAGTCGGGGGACATTTGCCGCACATGACTGGTTTAGTCAACGAAAGAACACTTACAGGAAAATGGACAAATGCCACAATATCGCATTTTGAGGCTGTTTGGCTGGTCCCAATGGCTCGTAGCGTCGGCTGCGCTTTATATTTAGGTGAAACGAAGTATTGAGGTTGGTCGTTAACCACGCTGGCCAGTTAGTGCGCTGGCAAGTTGGTCGCCGACATCTTCTAAATTTCCAGACGATGTCAGAAACGTCAGGAGCTAGAAGTAGCGAGAAAAATTGCAAAATAGTGTGATGGCGGCTACTGTGGTAAATCAGAACCGAGATCTTGTACTCTTGATGAGATCACTCGGTTATCATATCTGCCAGCTCTCACAAGCTCGCGCGCGTGTCAAGCTTCACTGCTTTGCATCGGAGGTTGGTCTCTAACTTTGAAAAGCTGTGCCGGGAAAAAGAAAATTATGCGGGTTTATGTTCGATTGAATACGGTCGTCAAGGTAGCTCCCATGCAGCTGTCGATCGAAAGAGCAGCTAACTTTGACTTTGCGCTGGTTGTAATGCTGCTAAAGGGCAGTTTCGCTTTTAAAGTGCGAGTGTAGGTTTTCATAATATTCGTGCATGGGTATCTTTGCAGTTTTTAATATTAGTGTTTGGAGTTTGGCAGGGTTCGCGAAACTTGGGGTATGCATTTTTATCGATAGACATGTTAATGGATATGCTGGTTCTTGCGGGCATATTAGAGAAACTATATTTACAGGTTAAATAAACTACCGGGTGTAAGTATGGGAGGGGAGTGGCTTTATGTCAACTGAAGTGTTGCACTATATAATATTGATAATTAAATTGATATATTGCAAAATGAATGCTGATCTGCATTGGGCTAAGGAGGCTGACCTTAAGGTTCTGTATCTCCAGAACCGACTAGTACATTTTCCGGTCTAGAAGTTGCATCGTCATGCAAGATGCACCGCCCTATGAAGAGCCATTTTCGCGAAAGAGTTGGTGCATGGACTGCGCCTTTGTGTAAGTCGCACTTCTTTGTATGGTCGGTGCCCCGCTGCAACCGCAGTCCTATGCTGCCATACTTCAGACAATCAGGAGAGCAGGCCATTGAAGGAGTGCTCTGCCGTTCCCTCTTTGTCGTAAGTGTTGAGACAGCTTGCGTCTTGCGCAGTTAAAGGGACACTGACAGGGTATTTATGCTCGCCGAGGTTTTTAGTTGTACGTGACATATGAGAGCTCAACTACCCAGAACAGAATTTGCGGCTCGAAATTTGGTTTTTTTCCGCCCAAAAACCGCCGATCAAGAACTGGCCGGTTCGAGTCTCGCTCACTCTCTTTTTCGCGGTCACGGGCCGTTTTCTGAGGTATCGATGCGACCACCAAATTTAATCGAAGTCGTGGGTCACTGAAGGCACACACTCAATATTAAAAATAGAAAAAAATATGAAACCCATTTTTTGTGGCTTCTAAAAAGCTGTAAATACGTTGATTGAAAAAAAAAAGTTCCACAGACAACCGGAAGCATTATGTGCATTCGTCGTTTCGCGTATCGTGGGACTCGCGGGGACGGCGATGGCAGCGGACGACGGGCGTGGGACCTCTATTTCAGAACTGTCGTTCGCGGTACCGGCGAATTCTGTCTACCGTTAAAAGAGAAATTTGGGACTGATCAAAAGAATTGGTATTCATCCCGTACGACACGCCCGGCCACCGAGCCGATTTGCACGAAGACGTCGCCGAGCCGTCGCTCCCTTCTCGTGGCTGAAGACATCGCTCCCGCAAACGTCAAGCACGACGTGTCTACTTCGAGTTCAATATGCACGCGTACGATTTCTTTACTAGGTGCGAATGTCCCCAAAGCGTGGTGCTTCCCGACTTCGACCCGGGAGCGCTTTTGCTACAGAAAAATCGACAGCAAACTTTCCAACTTACAGTTTACCGGCTCCATTATTACTAAGGAAAGAGATCCACCAGAGAGGCGATGCCCCAGTAGCTCAGTCGGAAAGACGTCCGGTTCACACGCGGTAGGACCGGGTTCGATCCCCCGTGAAACTTTTTTTTTTTTTTCAAACATTTTTTGATGTTTACATATATATATATATATATATATATATATATTTTTACAATCATCACTGAAGAAACAAACAAAAAAATAACAAACTAATGTTGTGGACGATACTTCGCTGAATTAAATGGTATGGGATTTCCTTTTTGACACCTGCGAGCTCAATGTAATCACTTTCCACAAAATGCAAGGAGCATATAAATCAGGTAACGTCCGCTTTACGAGGTGCCCGTATATGTTCTACAGGAATTGCAGCCAGCCGTTGGTCCCGATCCCGTTGATCTTTCGGAAACTCTGTCGCACAATGCCACTTTTTTTCGGATGCAGGAAATGTGAGCCAGCTGTTCACGCAACATGTTGTGTGTATTCTTTTCGGAGACGATCATGGAAATTCACCACGGGCACTCACTACTCATCTCCAACTCCTCAATGTACAAAACAACTCATCTTGGAGTACAGAACAACGAGCGGAACAAACATAACTGCAAGAAAATCGCACGGCGAGCAGTTCCCGCACGCCGCATCGCACGCCACATGTCCTGTCGTCTGCTACCGGAGAGGAGAGAAAAAAAAAAAAAAAACGCACGGTCGGGTGTAGCCACGTGACTTCCGCCACTCACTCTCTTCTCTCCACTTCTCCGAGCTCCGTCGGGTTTCGGTTTCGGTTTCGAGGAGTTGCGTCTTTTGGCTTTATTAAAGAAATACGCTACTCTGTTGCAAAATATTAATTGGGTAGTCCTCCGACACCATAATGAAGCCCCTGGCAAAAAATAAAAAATTTTTTTTGGGGGGTGTCAGTGTCCTTTTAAAGGAATACTGAATCGAAATCTGGATTTTGCAAAATAAGGCTGCAGAAGTGCTGAATGGGACGGTACAAACTCCAAGACATCACTCGTACATCGATATCTCGAACAGATGGCCGTACTTCTGGAAAAGAAGGGTGAGATCAAGCGAGGGCTATGACGTCATTGTCTCCCGGGAGAATTTGAGAATGAGGGGAAGCAGCCTCCCTTCTCTCCTCCTCGCTTCGGTTCACCAGCTCGACGGGAGGTAGGGAGGAGGAGAGGGAACGAGAATCGTGATGTGACTCGTCTCGTCGGCCTCATCGGCCGTGTTCAATCGCGCATTTCTTTTTCGGAAATACGGCGATCCGTTAGAGAGATCGCTGCATGAGTGATGTTTTTGGGTTTTGCAGCGTCCCGCCTATCCGTCCAGCCTTGTTTTGTGAGCTAGAAATTTCGGCTCAGTATCGCTTAAGGCCCATAAATATTTCAAAAAATGCATATAAGCCGCATCGTTAACACACAAACGGATATTTTGGGGGGGGGGGGGGGGGGGGTAAATTTTTACACTGGAAAATATGGTTGTTATATAATGGGTCATAACCACGGTTTTGTGTTTTCGGGGTTTATTTTTTTGTAAGTCTTTTGCTGCTGCATACCGAGATTTAATTCTTTTGCTTGCGGGGATTTTCGGTACCAATTTTTTGTGTCAACGAAAAATCTGAGTTCATGCTCTAGAAAATGGGACACGGGCATGGGATTCTGCAGCCCCGAGAGAATGTATGCGTGGGCCAAATACATAAAAAACGTCCCCGTACCAATAATAATTAAAAAAAGAAAACTAGATAAGATATGTGATTTTGAAGCAAGAAGCCTCGCGGACAAGTTCATTGGTGTCTGCTTCCTGGATTGGCACAAAATAAAGCTGTAGATGAAGATTTTCTTCCCACGAAGCTTGACTTTTTCTTATTCAAAAACAGCTAGAATTCAGGGTTTATCGGTATTCACTAAAAAAAACCCAGAACCCTAGTCATAACTAGGGTTAGGGCAGTAGCGCACCTTGTGAGATTGACCCGTCACTCTCGGAAGTGCTCTGGATCTGTCCCAAGTCGATTCAGTCCGTGAACAAAGGCACGGTGCTGCGAGTTCACCACGTTGTGGCCCTCTTGCAGACGCCGTCCAAGCCCAGCGCTCAGAAGGCCATGGACGTGGCCACCGTGGGCCAGTTCCTGGGCCTCCTGGCCGTCCTGACGTCCTGCCTCTCCAGCGGGTTCAGCGGCATCTACCTCGAGAAGTTGCTCAAGGAGACCACCTGGTCACTCTGGATACGCAACGTCCAGCTAGGTACCGCCACCGCAAGGTTTTCCGACAAGTTTTGGACGCCGATGAAGTTAAGGCATACCTGAATTGACCGCGTACCGCAGAAATGATGCAATACGGAGCGCAAGTTCGTCTGCTTCTTTTGCAGGGGTTGTGGTGACGTCAGTACGCCAAGTTCCGATTGGTTCTGATTGAAGGATAGTGGGTAGACCTCGAAGCCGCTTTGAGGTCTACGCACTATCCTCCAATCGGAGCCAATCGGAGCTCGTCGTTCTGACGTCACCACGACCCTTGCAAAAGAAGCGGAGGAACTTGCGCCCCCCATACCGTAAAGTTCCGTGAGATAGCCCCGCCCCGAGAGATCGCCCATCCCGTTTTTTTGGATAAATATCCGCGACATAAAAATTCCGAAACATCGCCCACCCCCGATTGCCGTTGGATATCCCACGATGTTTGACAGGAATCGCATTAACCGCGCATTTTGCTGTACCGGCATGCCTGACAAGCGATTTCATAGCGGGCTCCCGCATTTTTGTTTGCGATCTGCGCGCGCGATATCGGCTCCCGTAACACGTGGGTTGTTCCCGTGTGTATGTTGCACCGTGAGATGCGAATCTGCTGCGTCCGCAATCTGCGGTATCCTTTCCCGTGACACAGGTGTTCATAGCGAATTTGCGCGAGGTTATTGCATCGTGAAACGCGAATTTGCGGTATCCGCGGTGTGCGGTATCAGTTCCTGCGTTACGTGTTTTGTAGCCGGTGCCAGGATGTTTATCATTAATTTGTGATCAAGTTTTGCCGCTGCATACCCAGAGATAACCCAACCCACGTTTTTCACCATTTATCTCTTCATTTTGGGTGTTTTTTTTTTTCAAAACTTTACGGTAGACCGTTTTCGAAAATGCGTGCCATCTTCTAGCTGGTTTGCCAATTATCCGAATCTGCCATTGTTTGGGCACGTACCCCGAGCTTGTACTGGACACCAGCGCCAAATCGGCATTTGACATGGACTCGAGTCCGGGTCCAGTTGCACGCTTCATGCCCAAGGAAATGCAACTGCCAGTGTTGCTCAATGAACTTTTGAAAAGAGTATTGCGACGACGTGAACGGCCGGTTCGCCGGCCACAAATGGGAGTTTGAGTTGAGAATCGGCGGTGTAAATACGTGTTTCCCTCTGTTGGCTATAGACGTTTGCAAGCAACCACACTTCAAAAGCCGGTCTGGCCACCGTGAATGAAAAATGCTGCATTTGAGTGCCAGTCTGGCAACTGTGGACGGGCCTTAGCGAGGCTTGGCTATCCGATGAAGCATGCATGCCAGCAACAAGATAGCAACGCCCAGAGGTTGTACCTGCAAACGCCTATGCTGTACAGTTTGTGGCTTTCTACAGAGTACTATGGCACGATATTGTGACACCTATCTGTAGCAGACGACTCCGATATTGGGTCCTGCGATGACAGTTGGAGCCAGACGGACAGTAACTATGACTTGAAATGCACGACAAGCATGCTCCGCTTATGCTTTTACCGTGCTTTGGATGGATCGTCTTATTCGTATGTGAGGTGATTGGTGGCTTGGTGCAGTGGGCAGTGTCAGCCTCGGGGATGCCATGCTCACACCCCTGAAGCTGCACTGCCCATCACACCAGTTCACTTCTCGGAGGTTCTTTTTCATTTCTGCTGGTTTCAGCTTGCACGGGCACTGTAGCGACAGGAATGAGTACTAACTCTCCACTGTCGAATGATCCATTGTTGTTTAAATTGTATGGAGTTTGTGCAACAAGAGCGGTATTCACACTTCTCAATTTTTAGAGGCAAATCAGGAAACTGCAATGTGTCTTTTGAGGAATATGTAATGTAACCCTATTGAGGTGTTTGTTTTTGGGAACAATGTAACATTTCATATGTAAGGAGATATTTTGGACAGCCTGTGCTCTTAGCGCCTGAACACTGCTGAAGAAACCGCCCAACGATAAGGTTTGTCTAGCCCTTCATAAAACAGTGCAGGCTTTAGGCCACTAACTGTGAATCCAAACTTCTCAGGCAACCTTTAAAGCTTCCCATTTGCGGGAAAAAAAAGAAATTGTGGTGTGTGTATGTTTATGCAGCCTAGAACTTAGTCTGCCTCATTGGGTAGTTTGTCTCCCAGCTTTAGATGAGAAATTTAGCCAGTGCAGTACAAACCGCAATGCCTTTAATGTGCACCACGCAGTAGTGACACACGACCACATGCCGGTACGATGCTCATCCAGATCGAAACGGGCAGGGGTGGGGAGTAAACCCGGGATCACTGGGTTCTACAGGACGAGTCCCATTTGTGGATGAGGCTATTAGAGCGTGTTTTAGAAGACCTTGGACAATTCTGGCATTTGTTTTTCTCCTACCTAGCCATATTCGGGTTCCTCCTCGGCATCCTGGCCATGCTTTTGGCAGACTGGAACGCGCTTCTTGTCGAAGGCTTTTTCCAGGGCTACAACAGCGTCACGTGGACTGTCATTTTTCTTCAAGTAAGCCAATTCTCATTGCGAATCCCGCAAACACACTTGGCGGCCGTTAGTGTTGCACTACGATACATGCGAACGTTCTAATAATATCTTGAGGAGCCAACAATGTATAAAACGGTCCATGTTGTGAGGATGTGAAGTGTCGGCTAACATACGGAATGCGACTTGAGCCTCTGCAAACCAGCAAAAGTGTAATTTTGCAGCCGGTCGTTGTTTTCTCTGTGCTACCTGTCTACGACGCAGCTGTGTGCTGTGCACAATGCAGTTAACTTCAGGGTGATAACCCGTCTCTTTGTTATTGCTACAATGCTGTAACAGATGTCGAAACTATTGGTGCAGTGAAATGCCACGTGTCCGTCTGAGAGTCGAGTTGTGAAACTCGACTTTGTATGACATTATTCACGCTGTGTGCATCATGGAGCGGGTACAACGATTGCTCAGGATGCCTCTAGCACATGTTTACTTGATATCCTATCTCCATAAATTGAGTGCAAAGATGTGTTTTGAGATGGAACCTATGGAATATGTTACTAAAATGATGTATGATGTGACAAGACCCCACAAGGAAACATGAATGAACCCTTGGTACCTAATTTTTTGAATGGTGTAGATAATTGTGTTGCATAGTTTATGTTTAGGCAGCAGTAAGTTAGTCAGCCTCAATCGGTGCCCGGTGTCTTCACTGAAGATGAGAAATTTCGCCAGTGCAGTACTACTGCCAGCTTGGGGGTCTTTAACATGTACCACGCAGTAGCGTTACATGACCGCACGCCAGTACGATGTTTACCCAGATCGAAATGGGCAGCGGTGAGGATCAGGGGTGTGAACCCAGGATCCTTAGCACCTGCGCCGCAAGCTTTGGCTCCACATGTTTCGAGCTGTGGTGCGCGAACACGTTCAGCCATTGGTCCCCCCTTTTTATATGGAGGAGTTTGTTTCCATTTGATAGCAACTTTGCTGACTCGAGTTTTGTCTCCCCCGACAGACATTCGGAGGGTTGATTGTGTCGCTGGCGGTGCGGTATGCCGACAGCATCCTCAAGGGCTTTGCCACGTCGGTCTCTATCGTGCTGTCAACTTTCTGCTCCTATTTCCTGCTGGGTGATCTTCTACCTACCGGGTGAGTGGTCTTGCTAAACAATGAATGCACTAAAGTTTGGGTAATGACGAAATGATCTGGGTCCTGCATTTTTTTTTCAAGCAATTGCAATGTGAATGTTACGTTGAGTTAACACTATGGTGGGATGGTACCCATTCAACAAACCTTAAAATCATTCCTAAGATTTTGCTTTATACTTCGTGGAACCAGTGTTTTCTTGCTGATCGTATATATTGGATTTCGAATGAAAGAATAACGATACTACCTATCTTTCTGTTAGGTTAAATTCAACTAGTTTAATGTTTTTCTTCAATATGACTGAGAACGTAATGCAGCCATCTGGTGCATCACAATACCTCACCTCAACCTGTGTTCTCTCTTATAAAGTTTGGAAATTGTGTATAACGCACCCTTCTGAAGACATTAACTTGACCACAGGTGTTCTAGAAGCTTAAGGTGTTCTAGAATTAGAACAGTTCACAAGCTTCCAGTCTGCTAGTGATGCTAGCCCACGGCAATGCATTAAAGGAGCTGTGCAACGATTTTAACGTTAAAATAATTGGCATCTTCTGCTTTTGATATTGTTCACCTTGTCACGGATGACAGAAAACACACCTCCTTTCATGGAAACGTTGCGATTCCGCCACGTAATAGCGAGGCAAAACTTAGAATATTCCCCGACCTGCAGCCGCGAGCGGCGGCCATGAGAAACACGCGGCGTGACGTCAATGGGGAATCTTGTAGAAAGATAGCAAGTTGTGCGAATACCTACTCGATAAAAGGTAACTTTTTTTATAAATCTTGTCGTTCCAACATATATATGAATGTGCCAAAAACCTGGTATCATCTACAAAACTTTTATTATTCGTAGTTTTAGTGGCGCCACCTATCCTAGGTCCACAAAACCGTCAGCTCTATCTCCTTCCGCGAACAGCCACCAGAAGCCGGAGGGGGAGGGGGACAGGGCCAGACGGGTGTGGCCGGACGGGTGTGGCCGGACCCGGATGAGACTTTATTCCTTTCACCATATTGCTTGCGCGGCGCCCGCCACCACGTGGTCACGCGGTCGCGAGCGGATGAGTTCTCGCTGCTCGCTGATGGCTCTAAAGGGAGAACTTTTCCGGAACCCCGCGCCTACCCCATCAACGTCACTGCGCACGTGACCCGGAAGACGACGTACGAGTTGAGAGGCGGCAAAGACCTGGATCTTTTTCATTTTTTAAAATAAAAACTAGGGTATCCAGGCAAAATCTGTTTTCTGCAGATCACTTCAAAAGTGTCAGGCCTCAACTTCCACAATAATTTAAGCAATGCCTTGAAATTGTTGCACACTCCTTTAATGCATGGTCCAGCTATATGCTGTGTCTAAAGTAGGAAAGCATTCTGTTTGGAGGTTGGGAGTTTCGAAGTAGCTTGGGACTGGAGGGGTACTTTCTGAAGGTTCTGATCACCTCTCAGTTCCTATAGATACCTACTTTTAGAAGGCATGATGTGGTCATTTTCGGAGGCTATGTAATTGACTACTAGTTTGTTTTTGGAGCAGTGTAAGTTTGCAATAAATGTTTGGTAAAGTAGCTAAAGTAGGCCCCACTACGCAAACAAGACTTTGCTGAAAAGAACTTGCATTCTTGTTGCAGCCGTTTCTTCATGGGAGCGGCCACAGTCATATTTGCCACACTAATCTACGGGATCCCCGTGACTTGGAAACAGTAGGACATTTGTGCGTCAAAGTGACGACAAAAAATGGCCCCTGCACCACCGCAGGCGTTGGAAGCACACATCGGGCCGCAGGTTCATCCCGGAAAACAAACTCATCTATGTCGCTGCTGTTGTCATTCGTGAAGCTTGTTGTCGGCAGCCTTCTTGCCAGTAACAGTAGTACAGTATTAATGCCGGAGCTCAACCAAAAGATGGTGACACTAGTTCTGTGCCTGGGTTGTATCCAGTCAATTGTATCCGATACCACTGTGGCATTGCAATTTGGGGCATGAAAAGCATGTCGGTCTGCCCTGTCCTTGAGCCCACTGTGCAAACGATGCTTTTTACTGATGATTGGAGTTTATTAATGTTCATTATGTCCACATGCATGTTTGTGGAGTAGGCGATGCCCAATCAGTGTCTGAACAACATCCTAGTCTTTCAACTGAGCTTGCTCCCATTTAAAAATGTGTTTCGTATACATTTTTGCGATGCACAATGCAGTCTCGCGTGAATTTCCAGTGCCCGGCAGCGAATTTTGTGATGAGAGTCGATCTCCAATTGTGATTTGTACATAGAGATGCTTTACGGGGGTGGTGGCTTTCTATTGTGAGCCCACCTGTGTGGAACACACACACAAAAAATTAAACAGCCTGTATCAGGCATTTTACGACCGAGAGATTTGTTTATGCAAAGTATTTATGTGCGCAGATGCCTCTGCCCAAACTTTGTTTCTTCCCGTACTTAAATAAATATTGTAAATTAAGCCATTTAGAGTGAAACTGATGGGCCCCATGCGTTGCTGTTCGTGAAAAGTTGCATTTGTAAGTCTTGTTGGGCATTAGGTTGTGTTCCCTTTAAGTTATAATTATTGTCTTCCCACACCCTTCTTTTCAAATACAGGCATTACCGGTTTTTATAACAGACAGTCGCGCATAGGACTAGCAGGCATGCAGCAAGATTTTCCTGCTTTCTATCCTGCGCTCTGGAACATGTTGCTGTGTAGATTCACCCCAGACTGCTAGAACCCATCCTTCATTCTGATTGGCTAATGTTTGCAGCTTTCTACTAGTCATTATCTCGCACATAATGCACATCAGCTACACTTTGTCTCAGCTTAGTAAGCCCAAACGCAGCTGACACTGCGAGGTAATGGGACAAATCAAGCAGCATTGAAAGTGCAAGTCACTAGGCCTTTTCTTTTTATGATTGGCTCAGAGAGGATAGAACAGGTACAGCAACATGCCAATCATTATGATGGTGCATTTTTGGCGCTGTTTCATTGATCCCCTCGACGTAGCGCCGACTGTGTCTGGACTTAAGCTGAAACAGAGTAGCAGCTAATCACCTTAATGTAAAAACGAAATGTGCATTCAACCGCTATAATACAGGACAAGTACTGCTAGTTTCTAAAAACCTGCCTGCCAAAGTTGGATGTCCATATTCACAATAGAGAATTACATACTGAAAGGTCTGGGGGAGCCTTACAGGAATAAAACTTAGAATACCTGCGCATGACCACGGCGACGTTTTCCGTGGAAAGCTAGGTGTAGGCTCTCACGAAAAGTGTGCTCATGTGCAGGATCAAAAGTTGGTTGACCCAATAGGTACAGTCGTGCAAGAAATCAACTGCATTACTTCCAAAGCATCTCGAAGTTGTCATGCTTCTGAGCTTCGCCTGCTGCGCTCGGCCACGGGGCGCGAACGCGTTCACACGATGGGACCGCGTGATCTTGGCTTTGACGGCTGGTTCACTCATCTGCGTTGGTCGCACTTTCATGCAACCGAAACGACTGTAACGACAAGGTCACCAAGACAAGTGTTTGCCGTACACAGCGTGGCAGGCTATGCAGAGGCAGGGCTCGGGGCAGAGGATAGAGCTTCGCGAAGCGATAGTCACGGTCGTTATGGTCGGTACGGTCGGCTCGGTTGCATGCGAACGCAACCTTTGCATGTGTGTGAACCCGTTGTAGCGTTCAATCATGCACGAGCCGCGTTCTAATGCTAGCGTCTGTTCAAGCGCGCAAAAGAAAACAAAAGTAAAACCAACCGAAAATGTACAACTGGCGGACTTAATATCCTTAGCATCCCATCGAAACGCCAAGAATATATTGATTTGATCTGTTAATGTTTTTGTTCAATTCGAGTTTGCTCGCGAGGGGCACTGCTCTAGCAGAGAGCGGATCCGTCAAGGTCCAAGCAGACGCCCAGAGCGGGAAAAACGCGCGCCGAAAACACTTTTTTTCCCCCCCCTTCAGTAGGTTTGTTTGGGTCTGTTTGGATGGTGGAGACGCTATCGGCTGAGGCTACTCGGGCGCGCTTTGAGAGGATTTTATCTTGCTGTTTGTGTCGCAGCGGTCTCTGTGCTGCGTGTCCTTGCGTTTCTGAACGCTTCTGCAAATCGAACTGATAGCTCCGATAACGGCACCCGATACTTCGCCGCTGGCGCCTTTTGCGACGGAATCTTATTGTTATCAGTTATCGTTATCCGACATTACGAGCCGAGGGGCCAATGAAGCTACACCGAAAGCGCATCATCGGATAACCATTCAATCAAGTTGAAAGAGTGCGCCTTAGCGTTTAAAGTCTGTTTATGCGCTGGTCCGTCGTATTGGCTTTGACAGCATCCGGACAAAATGTGCAAGCGTTCTTAAACAAGCACGAGAACCGCCAAACTTTATTTGAAAAAAGATGGAATCGAGTGGTGCAACATCACTCCTAGTTCTTACAGTGCAAAGAGGGCCAACAGGACGCGGCCTGCCCTTGCACTAAAGAGGCTACTGATGACACAAATATTTGATTCGTTTTCTTGGATTGAGTTTGAGGGAACAGTTATAGATGTCCATATAATAATAATTTAAAAAAAAGTGTTTCGAGGCGACGCGCAGCAATTTGCCGTCTCTAGCGGAAACTCTTGACGGCACATTCATCCCTCCTCCTTCCATGGCCGTCTTCGTGTTTTTGTGAACGTTTCTTCAGCGAGCGCTGGCGTTTCAGACCGGCGATGATGAAGCAATGGACGAAAAGGAAAGCCTGTGCTCTGGCGGCGGGAACTGGAAACCACCCGCGAAAGTACGTGGTAGGATGAAACGTTCGTTGTGGGGCTCGTTCAGCACGATGGCCTTGAACTGCTTGTCCGTAAGCGGTGTCCACGAGACGCCCAGCATCTGAGACACTTCCTTGCAGACGGCGTCGTACGACTGCGACGTGTGACGGAGCCACGCGTAGAACTCTTCGCTCCACTCAGGGTTTTGGGGCCAGTCGCACTTTTTGATGACTGCGTTGCCACGGACGACGAACTGCCGTAACGACCGGCCGTGATGGGCCAGGAGGAGGACCGTAGCCGTTGAGATGCGCTCTCGAATGATGAGCGTTTCTAGTCTCGGACAGGAACGACACAGGAGTACCTGGAATGAGAAACGGTTGCAACATCACTCGTAGATTTGAGGCTGTTTTGGTGCGCTTTCTTATCGGTATCTTTTGGGCGTGCAAGCGTGCGATCCACCGAGGGATACTCTACATACCATCAGACGTGGGAAACATGACTTGCGGAGGTATAGACCTTTCTGGAAAATCCCACGAGACCTTGCAACGAAGGGAATTGTGCGGATGTTTGGATGTAATACGCTCGTGCCGGCTAGAACCCTTCGGATATCCTGGTAGCGGCACAATTTTTTATTTATTTATTTATTTTTTTATTATTAGGAGCACAGAACACACCCAATATAAAAAGTTATTAATACTATGTTTTGCTTTCCTTCTGCATATGATTCCGCCGCACGCGTGCACGCCCAATCGGGTTTGATGGGCCTGCCCGACATACTTGGGTTCACCCATAGCCTCCTCTATAATCACAAATGCTGGCATTTTAGTGACGGAGCCATAAAGTGCCCGGTCGCAGATTTGGAGCGCGAGGATCTGGTAGCACGGAGCATCAAAGAGCCATTTTTCGGGCAACCTGAGCGTCAGCGCACAGCTTTTGCAGCGGCGAGGACCCGAAGCACACTTGTTCGCTTGGGAGAAGTGTGTTTCGGCGTCCCGCCGCAGCGGGTCGCCAGTCACAGATCTCATCCGTTGTCTGCCGCTCCACCTTTTCCATTTAGGCGGCACTTCTCGTGGCGATCTGCCAGGCTTTGTCGGTATATAAAAGGCTATGGTTCACCATAAGTCCAAACGTAGCCGTTGCTCGACAAGGCCAATCGATGAATGCCAATAAGCGCAACGTCATGATTGTTCGTCGTCTTTCTGCGGGTGTGGTATCACTGCCTGCGCCGTGACCTTGCGCTTTTAGCCTGTGCGCCTGATACCGTTGGCTTGAGTGTGACTGGTCAGTTCCGCTCGAGTGCGACTGCAACCATTTGCGCCCCGTTCAGACTGCCTGCGTCGAGCTGTTGCTATGGAGACACTTACGACAAGCCAATGGGGAGGCGCTGTGCTGCACGACGCGACGCAAATGTGTGAACCTGCCTTTAGCCATTGGCTAACAGACTTACGGTGAATGGGTCTTGCTTTGTCTTATTCCGCCGCCACACGGCTAAGTTAATGGAATTTACATCAAATGACATCGGTGTCTTATTGATCCTATTGGCGGTCGCCATTTCTTGCGCGGTGCAGTGCATGCACGCGCGACGCTCGTAGTCAGGATTGCAAGTTGATTCGCTGATAACGTGATGTCATTCGATGGAAGTGACATTAACGATTACGTGTACTTGTTGTGATCAGCACGAGCTGTGGGTAAAGCAACTTATCATCTGCCATGAACGACAGCCTTGATTGTGCGAAAAGAATCTGGCAAACGCTTGTTATGGCCGATTCCAGTTTTAGTGTTCGTGTTTGCTCGCTTTACGAAGCGACAAACATGCGTGTGCTGGGCTGGAGTCTCGTAAAGATTAGAATGGTGCATAGACCGACAAGTTATTTACAAACAATTCTCAGTTTGCCCATGCCATGTGACTATAAGGCTTCGTCAGGGCCGTACCCAGAAAAAAATTTCGGGGGGGGGGGGGGGGGGGGGGGGTTTTCGAGGACAACGGCGGCCATTTTGTCTTATTTTCGCCTATGAATCATGTGCATCGGTGGCATATAATGGAGAGTTATAGCAAACCGAAGAACCGGTCCCGGTTTGGTACCCGGTAGCTGACCGGTGCCACTGCGCGTGCGCAGAGGTGGAGATTAAAATCGGCTGGCTGCAAGTGCACTGACCAGGGCCGTACCCAGAAAAAAATTTCGGGGGGGTCAGAAGCCCCTATCCCCCCCCCCTGGTTACGGCCCTGGGCTTCGTATAATGACGACGCTTACGAGGGCAGAGTCTGGGCGGTCCACAAACGGCTTGGCCATGTGGAACTTGGGCAACCCCAGAAAGGCGTAAGTCCTCAGGTCCTGCGGGTAGTAGGTGGCGACCACGAGCGCAGACTCGGGGCCCACTTGGTTGTACGGGGTCCGGTAGACCACAGAGTGAACCGGGGCGCCTTCCTGCCAGATAATCTGGTGTGATGATATTGGGAGCTGAATTAGTGACAGCCTATCTATGGTGAGTTTCTTTTCTCGTACCATTTCTCTGGCTTTCGTTTTCATTTTTTTATATTATCGATTATCTTAGATTATCTTAGCCTCAGTGAAAGGAATCTTAGAGGCTGGAAGCGGTTCGTCGTTATCATACGCCACATTTGACCCACACTACAACTTACTACAAAGAAGTACAGTAGACCCTTCTGTTCTTTAAATTGCGTGTTTTATATGTCTTGATTTAAATAACGACTGAAATTAAACTACCTAGATTTTTTCCTCTCCATCCTGCTTGCAAGTTCGTTGCACCTGCATGTAAACCGGCCATCCCCGGTGACGCGCGCGACGATAGGGGACATGCTAAAATTACATGTTCCGAGAGCTTGACTGACCACTAATGTTAGTATGTACAATTTCTATGCCACTAATAAACACTGTCTGGATAACTTAAGACACTTTTCACCCACCAGAACACAACACGTCAGCGCACACTGCTGTGTGTCCGAGCACAAATTGCGCGTAGACGCTTCACTACCATTTAGATAGAAGCTGACGTCTAATCACGTACGTCACGCTTATATGACGTCAGGTAATATGCGCTTACGTTTTTACGGTTGCGAGAGGTAATCGGGTAGAGCGTTGCCCGTGTGATGTTTTGCATGGGTGTACCGGCGAGAACGGCCGCATAGGATATGGCACAATCACTTTTAGACTGAGACTGCAGTCAAGGATATTCAAACGCGAGGACACGAGATCGCGGCTTTGAAGCGTTCTTCCACAGAAGGAGTTCTCACGTTAGAAAGGCCCGTTTCATAGCAAGGTGCCCGAGCTAGCTCGCCCTTGTAACTTTGACTGCAGACTTTTTAAGCTTTCTCGATTCTTTCACAAGGCAAGCCTATAATTATAATAGACTCTTGCTGCTGGCATCTAGCTGTTCCACACATTCGAGGTGTCAAAACCATTATTATTACCTCCTTAGCGATCCTGCCTTCAACGGCCAGGTGCACCCTGAGTCTCGGCGCTGCCCTCCGTAACTCCCTCCAAGCCCTTGTGGACACGCGTATGCCCAGTTGCGTGTATGTCGACTGCACCAGGTGCAAGTCCCGCAAGGCTGTGTAGCTCAGAAGCGCAACCACGTCCTCATCAAGATGCTGCGGCGACAAGTAGAGCGTGGACAAGTTCAAAAAGACACCCACGTGCAGAAACGGGTGAGGCTCCTTGGAACAGTTGACAAGCCGCAGAGTCCTCAAGGTGGTCATGCAGTTCCCAGCCACGTCATCCAAGAGGAACTTTGCTTCTTGCGGTTCCAGCAGAAGGTCCGTGAGCGCCAGGTGCCGTAGACCCGTGAAACATCGCATCAGCCTCTTCAGGGCTTCGAGGACCTTTCCTCCTGTTCCGAAGACGTTCTCTTGAGGTCTGTCCTGTTCGGGTCCGTCCGAGTCTGTCATGTGGCAGGCAAAGGTGAAGTCGAAGGTGCGCAGAAGGTGGAGGGTATCGCTTCGCTCGCCGAAGTAGGCCATGATCACCATGAACTCGTACAGGTTGAAGAAGTTGGACATGGCCGGGATCAAAAGGTGGCGGATGTAGCGGCCGATCTTGTGCATGCAGATCTGCGTGCGGTAGTGGTCGAGGATGTGCTGGTAGCCCATGTAGTAGTTGAACTTGCGTCGGGTCATGGTACGGTCGTCGAGTACAAAGACAGACCATACTTGGGGCGAGTAAAATACTCTGTACCAATTGCGGCATACCTGCATGTTTAGAAAAACAATTTACAGTCTTCAATTTTTTTAGTTTACAAAAAAAAAAACGATTATGCATAAATTATAGAAGGACAGCTCTGGCAGCAGCAACCAACCTGTGACATGGAGTAGCGGTCGCGAATCGGTACCAGGCCGTACACAGCTTCCAAAAGGACGTCCGGCAGAGAGGCCCAGGGACCTTGCTGGGCGTCGGGCAGGTCTTCGAAGCAGACCTTGGGCCAGAACTCCACGGGTTCGTCCGGATCTCCATCCTCCGGATCGCTTTCGTTGGGAGACTGCTCGCGAGAGTTGTCCATGACCAGTTTACCGCCACGCTTCCTGCAAGGACCGACCGGTAGAACCAGCCCTATTGAAAATAATTCTAAAGGGCCCATCAGCCTTGAAGGATTATGGGACCTCACAGGCCTTCAGAACCCTTCAGAAATACCCCAGAACCAGCCCTATTGAAAATAATTCTAAAGGGCCCATCAGCCTTGAAGGATTATGGGACCTCACAGGCCTTCAGAACCCTTCAGAAATACCCCACAGAAAAACCCTTCAGCCCAAACCCCTTGGCCCATCAACCTTTTAAACGCGCAAATAACCGAATCATAGACAAAAATGCAGTTCAAAACGTTATTGAAGTTTATTTCAGACATTTTGTTTTACATGCATATTGTAACTCAAAAAGACGATAAAAACCAACGTTTGTTCAATCCCGGACGGAAGCAGCTGTAGATGAGAGCGATCACATCAAATAGGGACAACTGAGTTCTTTATCACACAAATCAAAATATATTAAAGTACTCACAATGCTGCTGGGTAAATTCCTGATGTACAGTAGTTCAGCTAATAAAACCGAGCAGGTGCACGTCACGGACATAGTATATACACACTAAGTAAGCACGTTTGACGAAAACCACGATCTCGCAAGCAGCACCCGCTACCGTTGAGAAATTCTGAGCACAGTCAAGGTGTCGCCCCTGGTGCCGTCGTCTTCGGCGTCATTTTCGCTAGCTGGATGCTTCTGAAGCTCGACGGACGAGGAGGCGCACGGAACAGGCGCGGACAGCGGCCGCCATTCACCGTCTCAGGTCCCGCAGTGGCATGATCCCGGTGCGCAGGCACTACGTGCGGTGGGACGCTGTCCCCGACTGCCTGATTTGTGGCGAGTAGGCCGATACCGACTGGAGCGGGAGATCGCTGGAGAGGCCGCCTTGGGTTCACGGGCATCGCCTTGCCTTCTAGTGGGTCCCTGGGGGGCTATGTTGCGCTTTTTGCACTCCCAGGAGACTAGGGAGAGGGAAGTGACGTCAACAACGCAGCACATGCAGATTGGATGTTGACTTTGTTTTCTTCTGTCAACATCCAATCTGCATTTGCTCTAGTCGTTGACGTCACTTCCCTCTTCCAAGTCTCCTGGGAGTGCAAAAAGCGCAACATAGCACCCCTGGTCACTGCGGCATCCAGGGCAATGAGCAGGCTGACAGGCTGGCCGACAACGTGCACGACGAGCCCTGGTTCCGGACGTCCAGCGTTGGACCCTTCGCCGACGCCAAACTCCTTGAATTGCCGCTCGAGCGGACGCGGCGGCGCACCCCGACGAGCGGTGCGCGGCCGGAAATCACCCGGCAAGACCCCCCGCCCCCCGGGGCACGATCCGTCGAGTCAACGCTGTCGTTCACCGCATCCGAACGAACTGCGCCATGATCCCGCTGCGGCTCCACTGTTTCCGCCGCGACGCCGAGACGCCAACCCACGCTGCCCGAACTGCGGAGAACGGACAGATAAGGCGCACCTCCTCCTCGGCTGCAGGGAGCACGACGGCGCTAGGGCGGCCATGACAGCATCTTCTGCCGCGCTGGGCCTTACCTGCGGAACGAAGGACGAGATTTTGCTGCCACGAGGCGACAGACGCACCAAGGAGAGAGCTCTAAAGATCCTGCTCACCCTTCTCGAGAATACCAGCCTCATCGAATCGCTGTGAGCCCGTCGACGAGTCAGTCAGTCAGTCTTGGGAGCAAGGAAATCAAAGGAAGTGTTGCTGAGCCAAAAGCTCAATATGTCACCTTTGTATTGGGGTAGGGGAGGGGGAGTGAAAGATAAAGATAGGAGAAGGCTGGTTGCCCCAGTGTGTCGCCGCAAAATCGCGCCGCCGCGCCACGCAAGTCGCACGAAGAAGCCCCCCCGGCCGAGCAGAGCGGCCGGTGAAGTGCTGCTTTCCCGAGCTATCCTCCCCCAGCGCAACCGGTCCGGCGACTCCTCCTCGCCCAAGGGGGATTTTTTTTCCCCCGATGGATTCCTGTTGTTCCCCTCCCTACCTCCCGGCTTGCTTCTTCGGCCATTCCCCACCCTCCCTCGCCTCTATTTTCAACTCTATCTCCCCCATACCTCCCTGCTTTTCTTCCTCCCCCCCCCCCCCCCCCCCCCCTTCCAGAGCCAGTGAGAAATGCGCCCTACGCCCCCTCATTTTCATTTACAACGCTTACAAACACACACCGACCGGACGGGATTGCGTTCGCTTGCAAAAGCCGCTAGGCCCATAGGCGTGTAAAGGGTCCTCCTATAGGGGGGGCCAAGTTTCACTGCAGCGCCCCCCCCCCCCCCCCCCCGTCTCACCGAGACCCTTACGCCGTAGGGGTAAGGTGTTCTAGTGTACCCTAGTAGGAGTGCACTACAACACCATATTTTAACCGCGAAATATGGCTTCCAAGTTTACTTCAGTGTCACCATAAAACTACCTTGAGTTTACTTTTCCGCAGATTATTTGGAAGTCTAATTATTGCGATTTACGAATGGAGCCCGGAGAATGATAAGGCTTGAAATATGTTTGAACCTAAAAATTAAATCTGAGCTGTGACACCGAACAAAACGTCATACTTTATAATGCCACTGTTCAGGCTTTATTTTTACGTGTCATCGTATCCATATCCTCGTAGACAGCAGTAATTGGATTTGCGAGTGCTCTGCGTGAAAGTGGACTTAATTACATGTGCTTTGGAGTGTGGGCGAAATCAGAAGATGAGATAACTTTTCTAACAACATGATTTATTGCCAAACAAAAGTAGAAACCCCCATGATAAAGAAACCACAGCTTGCACTCGTAGGGCACAAGCGCCACATAACAAAACACAGAAAGAAAATGAATCGCACGAGGGCTCAGACGATACACAATTTCAATTCACAAGCGGTAGACTCTAAAAAAAAAAACATTCAACACAACACAACAACAGGGCTGGTGCCAATGAAAACAGTAACACACAGTAAAATTAACTACACTATACAAAATAACTATTCAAGCTGAGCTGTGCAAAAATACTATTGGTGTGAGAGGAATTAGTTCGGACGGAATCGGCTGTAAAGCACCCTCTTTTGCCGGCTGTCAACCAATTAAGAATAAAGTAGAATTATGTGACATTGTAGGTTAATGCGATAGCATATCCTGCGAAATTAAAACACATTCATAACAAAAGTTTGCGCGTTTTAGTCGTAAAATGCTTTAAGATATTATCAAAACTGATGGATATTGCTAGGTCCTGCTCCACAAAGGGCAGCATCAGCTAACGAAGCCGTTCCTGCGACATCGTGGATCTTAACTTGGTCTTTACATGTGCGAGCTTCGAAAATGTCCTTTCGCACGAGCAGCTGGTTACAGGAATCGTGGAAAAAAATTGAAGAGCCCGAGAAAAGTCCTTGAATACTGACTTGTCCAACCCATTTTCTTTGAGTGAATCGAGCCAGTCATAGGCGGTCATGCTGTTTGCTTTTTCGTCGCTGATTCGGGACTTCAGGAGCCGCATTTCAGCACGCAAGCTGTCGGGATCTACCTCAAGAAAGCTACAAATAAGAGATATTTGTTCGTCGCCCGCAGAGAGGCCCAGGAGGTTCTGGATAGCACACACAAGCTCAAAAGTTTCTTGTGTGAACCTTTCTTCGATCCCTCGAACACAGGAGTCAAGCATCGGAAAGAAAACACCAACACGAAATTCCTCCTCTTTTGTCGCATAGAAACATTCATTCGCCCAGTTTTGGTCAATTCGCTTCGATACCTTTCTTCTTCGAACTTCGGGAATCTCGATTTCATTCATCTCGCAGACCGAAGAAGCTTCCGCAAACAGCTTTTCAAAGACTGTCCCATCTTGCCTCATCTCTCGCAGCGCTTTTTGCAAATGCCCGACTTCATTGAGTGCAGTGGTAAGGTTAATTCAAGGGTTCTGAAGAGCTCGGCTAACCTTCAAAATAAGCTGTAGAATAGGGTGAGCTATTTCCATGCTGCAGACAAATTCAAAGCTCATCAACTGGGAAAGGAGTCCCTTGCCTTTTGCTTTCCTCTCCGGTCAGTTACAGGTTAAGAAGGTAGCGGCAAATGCCCCTCAAAGGGAATCAGATATCCCTCCGCCACCTTTGCATCCAATAGCGTCCCACCGTTTCCGTGACGTGGCGGACAACGCGCGAGGAGGGTCTTGCCTTTCTGTACATATTTGCTTTATCTTTTTACTTTGACTTAGCATTGTGGAAGCCACGAGAGGGAGATTAGAGTTCTCCCCCACCGACGGAAACAAATACGACTTTCGGGGATTAGCTTCCCCCCCCCCCGATGGATACAAAGGCTGCTTTCAGGGGCTCGGTTCCCTCCCCGATGAATACAAAGGTCGCTTTCTTAAAAAGTGGGATCGGAGACAAGTGGGAATCCATTGAAGCGGAACAAGGAGCGTTTCCAGTGAACTCTTCTTTCGACTGCGGAGAGATTTGAAACGGGCGCATCACACTTGTGGGAGGAGCTTCTCCTACCTTCTTGACTTGTAACCGACATACACTGAACAGTTCGCTGTAGCTCTCACGAACGGCCTTTACTGCTTCAGCACGACATGCCCATCTGGTTGTAGACAAAGACTTCAAAGTTTTCAGCTGTGTGCCGACAGTTTGGCAAATTCGCTCAAAAACAGCATGGCGCACAACACTGTTTTCAATAAAGTTGCACGCAAGTTGCACAACGCCAAAGAAATGAAACATCATTCTGTTTTCTGCTCGGGACAAACATTCATCGACAAGCACCAGGTTTAAGTAGTGGGCATAGCAGTGAACGTAGACGAGCTTGTTGTTCTGCTCTTTGCGCTTTGCTTGAACGCCAGCAACGTGCCCTGACATAGTAGAAGCCCCGTCAAAGCAGACGGAGCTCACAGAATTCCAGGAAACATTGATGGCGGTGAGAACTGCTTGCAATGTGGAAAACACAGAGTCGCTGTCTAAATTTTTAAGCCTTTCGAGAGTAAGGAAGACCTCCACTGGCCTGTTCTTAATCTCGCAGAAGTACCTAATAACAACGGAGAGTTGTTCATGATGACCGCAGTCACTTACGTCGCACATGAGCGAAATTGTTTTCCCTTCTATGCGGTGGACAATCGAAGAAAAAATGGCTGCATGCAGTGACTCTAGGATGTCGTTTTGTATTCTGTTGCTGATGTAGGGAGGCGTTCTTTGGGCCTGACTCTAAGTGGCCCCACAAAACGGGGTCGTACTTCTTTAAGATATTAACTTTCTCTACATATAGACCTTGCTCTGCGCTTTCCTTATTTTCTCTGTGCCCTCTGAATGGCATTCCTCCCTTTGCGAGAAGAACAACGATGTCAGTAAGGCGCTTTAGCACCTCACGATTTTGTTTTCGTTTTTCTTCACCTTGAGACGCTCGTTGTTCAAAGCTTTCATCCAGCATTGAAGCAATCGATCTGTTTGCTTTGGAGCAATTCCATGACACGACACTGTTAAGATGGCCCTCAGATCTTTCATGCTGATTAAGCTATTCTATCGCTTTTTTCCAAGTTCGAAACCCAGTAGAAACAAAGGATGGGTCTAAATGGTGCTTTGGATATACCGCTCCCCGGCGGAAACGCCTGACAACAAAAGCAAAAGGCTGCATCTTTTGCTGGACTGTATTCAAGCCAGCTGAACTTTGCAAACCAGTGTTCACAAAAGCTGCGCTTTCGATTATTTGTTTCTGTTTGGGCATACTGCCTAGATGAGGCTGAAAAGGACCCCGTGCTTGTCTGGCTTGCTTGTCCAGGTCGCTGGTCGGCATTGGCAGCGACGGGTCGTCGTCAGACACCTGGTTCTGGTTGGTGGAAAGCGTTGAGCAAAATCTCGGAGGCTCATCTGGTGCATCAACGATGTGGCTTGGCGTCGTGGCACAGCTTGGCGTCGTGGCACAGCTTGGCGTCGGCGCACAATTTGGCGTCGTGGCACAGTCGTCAGCTTGCTGGTGGCTGGACATCTTTTCCGGTTCATTTTGTTCAT